GGTCCTCACCTTCAATGGCGGGAAAAAAAGCAGACTGTCGATCCTTTTCGAGATGGGCACAGTTTTTGGTTGGGCTATTTCTTAATTAATTAATTATTAGATTGATTTATTTATTTTTTTCCCCCCTCACCGGGTCAGGGTGGGAGTCGGGGGTTGCAAACGGACACGATCTCCGAACAAAGATTGCAGCCGCGTTTTTATCTCGCTCACCGCTAAGAAGGAAGAGATGTCTACCCAAGGAACCGGGAGAAGGAGAAACGCAGACCGGAACAAAGGACAGTCCATTGGGACTTGATGTTCAGCCACAGCAATCCTCGTCGGCGGAACCGGTGACACAGCTCCGAGCCGACGGAGCGCTGCGGCGGCCGGGGCTCTGCCCTGCCACCACCGCCGCGGGCCTCTCTTTTATTTTCCTCACCACGTCGGGTCCTTCACACTGACACACGATAAAGCCACAAGAGAGCTACTTTGTAAGGACTGTTTCCTTGCTGCTGAGACTTTTCTTTCCGTCCCTCTCTCCTGTCGACCGCAACACGCCCTCACTGTTTTGTCTTGTTTACAATACCAGCTTGATTTAGCAAAAAAAAAAAACAACTTAAAAAAAAAAAATCCAGAGGGGAAAAAAAAAAAAAAGAGGAAAAAGTGTAGGCGTGAGAAGAAGAAATGTTATTGGTTTTATATCAAGCTATTAGATAGAACTTTAACTTTTCATTGTGTGCATTTTTGTAAATTGTACAGTAAAAAAAAAAAAAAAAAAGAAAAAAAAATACTCTTTATGTAGACAATTAGTCCAATTGTCATTCCAGGTCCCACCGTTTCTACCGAATGCTCCAGTTGTTCACTACTAAGTGCCTAACCTTTGAAATCTTTCACAGCGACGATGCAACCTCTCGCTTCGACGCACGGGGTGGCGGGCGAGCACGGGGAGGGGAGAGGGAGGGCAGAGCCGGGAGGAGCCGCTCGCCTCTGGCAGGTCCCGCAGCGCGTTACTGGGCAGCGTATGCGAGTACCAGGTCGGAAGCTTACAGTGGGGAAGGCAAACATGCTTTGGGGTTGGTTTGGGTTTTGTTGGCCTTTTTTTTTTTTTTTTTTTTTTTTTTCTTTTTCAAAAATATACTTTTCTTGGCGGGAGGGCAGCGGTTGCAGGAAACAAAAACCGGCCTCTTCTCCTTGAGTGGTGTTTAGGTCCTGCGGGAGGGACGCAGGTGGAAAAGTACAGCATCTACAGAGACGCTCTGGCAGGAGAAGAGGCGTCTTTTTCACCGCACGTCAAGTCACAGTTGGGCTGCGAGAGCTCTGGCCGCCTTCCGCGGTGCGCGACTGGTGTGGAGGGCAGTTGGAGAGGGTCTTGGGTTTATTGCCTGTTAAGAGAAGGTTTTAAAAAAAAAAAAAAAAAAATAAGCAAAACCTCTAACTCTGATTCTCAGGGATGAGATTTCTGTGTTCTTGCAATGACTCTTACGTTGGACAATTTCTTTCTTTTGTGCCCGTGTGGATTTCTGCACTTTGAGCCTGGGAGAGGGGCAAACGCCGCGTGCGGGTGGGGAGGGAGTGCTGAAGGAGAAGTCTGGGCAGGAGCTCGTGTCCGTGGGTCTGAGGAAGCCTTTTTAGAGCTTGTGTGGGGCACGGGGTGGCCAGAGGGCACGTAGTACCCTGACAAAAGGTTCAAGAGGAAGGGTGGGAGATGCCAGATGAGCACATCACTAAAAATGAAAGATAGGGAGGAGGAAGAGTGTTGAACACATGAATTTTTTCAGAGGATCTACCAAGCCCCAGAACTGTGAACCTTCCCTGGGTGATCGCTTAGGACGGGCAGAGATCCCGCTGGACCCCGCTGATGCATTTTGTCGCTAGGGTATCGGATGCTACCAAAGCGCTCAGGAGGTCTCTCGTGCTCTCGGCAAGAGCCTTTCAGCCTCAGGCGAGGAGCAGTCTGCCGTAGGGTGGTTCTCCACATCTCCTGTAGCTCTTCTGTTGAGGCAATTCAACCTGTTTTCCTTTCCCTTCTGTGGGTTTTTTTTTTGGTGGTTTGGTTCTTTTTTGGTTGCGTTACTAAATAATAATCGCTGGCCAATCTCATCCCTGGATTCTGCTAAAGGATAACTCCTGTCTGTGTCTCTGTCTCTGTATTTTATGTGCACTTTGCCTAAAGGAAGCGCGGCAGCCAGAGCTCCGCCGTGGGTACCGGCTGTGCTTTGCAAACGGAGGGCTATGCAACAAGATGACACGTTCGGCAACACATCCAAACCACCACGAGTCAGAAAGACCTTCATCCATTCTGTAGCTTTATCTGCTGGATTTCCCTGTTTCAGGCTTCAGCATGATTGTGACCAAATGTTTTCTACATTTTCCTTATCTGAAGGCACAAACGTTTTATTTGAGATTTTAAAGACAACGGTACTATTTTACTCCGGGAAGTAAAAGGAGAGGGAAAAAAAGCAATCTCTCTGACAGTGCATGCAAACATTGTACCCACACTGGAAAGCGAGAGAGATGTCTTTCTGTGCTGAGTAATTTTGCCTTTTTTCTCCACTCCGCCTTTCCCCTTCCTCGACCTTTTTCGACCCTCAGCCCCACACCACCACGCCGTCTGGAAGCGCACAGCCGACGGTGGCCTCGGGTCACTCCAATTCGTAGGCAGAACACGAAGAAGAATCTCAAGTTGTCTAATCCTCCACTCGCCTCGCAGGGGCCGATGCCGGTGACAGACAAGCCTGACCACGATTGTCCATAACCCTTTTCCCACCTTTTTTTTACAGCCTCTCTGCTGTCTCTTCAACGCATACATGATATTTCCGACGATCCTCATAGTGAGTTGCCAAACTTGAATTGCACCGATCAGTTTTTCTGCATCCAGAACCAGTCTCGTAGTGGCTGTACTTTGAATAAGTAATGTTTGCATGTAAAATATATACATATATACATATATATAAAAAGTATGTGCATGGAAAATGTTTATCTTCGTACTTTTTTGATACAATGTATTCATCAGTTGTTAATTTTTAATTATATTTGATATAAATCGGGGGTTTGTTGCAAAACTTTCTATTTAAAAAAACAGTGTTAAAAATTATAAAAGTTCCAACCATGCAACACAAGCGGAACTTTACCCAAAAAAAAAAAAAACCAAAATGGGGGGAGAAAAAAAAGGTTCTGTGATTGCCTAGTTTGCTGCCTGAGTAATATTTATCAGCCAAACTTTGAATTCTGCAGTTGTTTCTACAATTACATTTTGTATGAAGCAAAGTCCTTGAATTAAAATAAAAACTTAGCAAAAAAAAAAAACCAAACAAAAACAAAAACAAAACCTGAGAATTTAAAGATGGTGTGTGCAGTGTGCCTAGTGACCGGGAGACCCCCGCCGGAGAGCAGCCTGCCGTCCGGCGGGAGAGAGCCGCGAGAGGCAACTGGGCTCGGCCACAGCGTCGAGCGATAGCCCGGGCGATCCGCTGGGAAACCCCATTTTAGTTTAGCCCGAATTGGGATGCTGTTGGCCCCGTCTGTGTTTGTTTCCGTACGGGCTTCACGGGTGCTCGAGCTGAGCTGTTGGCAAATTTGCCTTTGCGGTGTGGATCCAGTCTGGAGATTACAGTTCCCGGAGTCCCAACAGGCAGCAAAATCACATAATTTAAGTTGAAGGTTCCAAAAAAAAAAACCCAACCCAACAAACCCTGGCGGTGATTGAGTCCTTCAAGGCTGTTAACGGAGGGATGTTTTCTTGATGTGGAAAAATGTTGAGCACGCGGCTCCCTTTGGAATGAGCCCTTAGTAAAGCTTTCACCTGCTCCCAGCAACGTCCTCGGTGCTACCTCGGGTAGGCACGGACATGGAAACCGGTCGGATGTGGGCTTGGATTGGTGTCAGGAGTCTGCCATGTGTCCAGGGCGTGCGGTAGCACTTGTAGAAAATAATAATAATAATAATAATAATAATAATAATAAACAACTTGGTGAGTGCACCTTGAAGTTCCTACTCCCAAGGCTTGCACCGAGCAGAAGAGAAACCCCACGGTCTGTTGGTGCACGAGGAAGGGACTTTTGGTTTCTTTTGGAGAATTGGAGAACTTCATTCCCTACTTGGGGGGGGGGAGGGGGAAACCCCCTGCGTGCATCGCCTTCGTCGTGGTGTGGTGTTCTGACACTTTTGACAATGCTGAGGTCTCCAAAAAACGGAGAAAAAATTATTAGCAGCTGCTGAAGGGAGGACCATCACATTTTTGTGCATTTTCCGGTACCGTTCAGAGCACAAGGTCTATTTTAGTACTCAACTCTTCTCTCTTGTTGCATCTTTTCTGTGCTGAGCCCACCCAAGGTCCCACCTGAGATTCAGGTATGGTGTGAAATGCTGTTCGTGCAAGAAAACGGTCTTTTCCCT